ATATATACGTACATAATGATAATATTAAAATTGACAAGATGGTCTTTTAAATTTATATTAGCCAAATTGATTATTTACTCTGCTAAGTAGATACACTCATTAATATATAGCAATATTAGTATAGTTGCTTTTAAATTATTTTATATATCAAGAAATAGCTGAAAAACTCATAAAAGTGATAAATATTTAATGTTATGTTTTAGATTCCTGTTTTATTAATTAAACAATCTTTCGATGCATTTGTTGTCTAAATATTATGAATGTATACTCTATATAATAATTTTTAATATATAAATTAAATACTTATTAGAAGTAAAAAATATATACGAATAGAATTTTTATATCAAAATCTTTATATGATTACTCAAATAAAGTAAGAAAATTAAAACTTTATTATATTTGATTCTCAATTAATTCATTTGTATAATATTATTCACAATAATTATATAGCAATTATGTAATCTATTTTTTTTTCTAGCAATATCTAAAAACTTCAAGTTGAATTTAGAATTCATAACCAATAAAAGTTGTTAAACAAACAAGAATTTCAGTATTTTGTATGAATTTTGTGTATTGGCAGTAAAGTTTTTAACAACTACCCTATATAAAAATATAAAAAGCACTTTATAAAATAGAGATTTTAGTATTTAATATTAGATTCGTTTTCTTTACTACAGTATTCAAAAAATTAATTTGTACAGTATTAAAGTTCAAACTCGTAAAACTAAATGTATAATTAGCTAAATATATTTAATAAATCTCAATAGTTTAATACAAGACTTATTAATATTCAGAAGCAAAAAAAGTTGTAATTGGCATTTGTTTTTTGGACTTTTCATATGCATACCTGTAGTTATTACTTAACTTTCACAAAAACTCCAGTTTAGCAAGCTTGAGATTAGATTCTGAATTAGTTTGCTCTTCATATCATAAAATATTTTGTATTGCATTATACACTTCTTTAGCTATAATAGAAGAAGGAAGAGGCTCTTCATTATCACCACTTTCTTGTTCTTGTTCATTTTTTTAGCTTGAACTATGCAAATTATTTCTTGTTTATTAAGCATTCCTTCTGTTGCAACAGATTTATCAACTATTTGAACATATTTTTCCATAGCTTGAGCAACTTTAGAAGCTTCAAGATTATTATGTGATGACAAATCTACAACAATATCTGCAACCTCATCATCTAAAAATCACTTTTAGGTTCTTGATTTGTAATTTCCATCTCTACCTCACTTATATCTGAAAGAATTCCTATCTTACACTAGCAATTTTGAATAGTTATATCAGTCATATCGCACCATAACTCTGCAATAAAATCTATTGCTTGCTTCACACTTAGCTTATTTCTGTAAATAAAAAAATTAAATTAATAAAATAAATCAAACTAATAAAGTTATATATTTAGAAAATCTGTACTAGGTTAGTGATATAGATCTTCTAATCTACAAATAAGATTTTAGAAATCAAGTATAATGTAACAAGATCAGAAAATTTTATAACAAAATATTTGTTTTGTTTCTTTTTCAAAAATCTGTATAATAAACTACTTTTAGTATTTAAAAGTTTTTTTTGAGTGATTTTATTATATAACTACTTAAACTTTAACCTTATACTAAATACTAGCCTTAATATTAATGAACTTTAAAAAATTTTGTCTACATCACTAATCTAACACAGATTTTCTAATACAAAAGTCATAGAATATAAGAATTTACCAACTTTTTCAAATCAATATTAGACTCAAATTGCTTAAAAATATGTTTGCAATAGAGGTTTTTGTACTTAGATTTGAAAGATCTAATAATACTAGCATCTATCGACTAGAGATGTGTGGTTGTATTAGGTAAAAGATAATACAATTTAATGTTCGTGAGCTTGAATTTGCTAGGGATATAGTTTTGTTCTTTACATGATTTTTTACTAGATCTTTCATTCAAAGTTATTCACAATTTTCTGTGTAGCTTTTTACAAGTTCTTTCA